GAATAATGCATGATTATGGGCACAATTAAAAGCCATCTGGATTTACAATTACTTTCATGTATACAATATTTGACAACGTCTCTTATTTCTGTAGAAAGTAACTATTTGCATTCCCATGCTCTGTCATGACAGTATACAGAGTATCACAAGAGGTCCTGAAGGAGGTAGCCATTTCCTATCAGTTAGTGAATTTTCCACTAACTCTTTAATCTATCAGGCCACTTTCAAATGTTTTCCAAAGTGTGTGTAATACTGTCCCTTTCAAAATAGCCCCCAGATACATTAATTACAGACAGACCCTTAAGAAATAGGTGCCTGAGTTGCATTAGTTTGACTGCATTGAAAGTCAACAGGAAGTAGTTGCCTGGTTCCTTAACTAGTTCTTGATAAGTGACTTTGTCTCTCATTCTTTTTGCTTGAGGGTTCATATATGTATATACCCATTTTTTATATATAATATATAAAAATGTAGGAATGCTTCTATATCTTTATACCAATCTCTAGCAGTTACTTCTGAAATTACAAACATTTTGATAGAGTTTTGTTAATGTTTTGAACAAAAAACGTAATTCTGGTACAAAGCATTATGAAAAGGCAATTCTGCTTTTGTGGTATATGTTGGCACTCAAGTAGAGAAATACTTTGTTGTGGGGAAAAATGCACAAAACTCAGATATTTTATTGAATATAATCCTCAATGCAAAATAAAGCTGTAACATTTATTAAAACAAGACTTGGTTTGATATCTCAGTTTAGTCTATGTATAGTTTAGCGAAGTAGTACGAGCAAGGTGATGTGTAGTGAACCATTGGAAAAAAATAATTGCTAGTATAGAGCAGTAAGCTGAACACTTAATATACATGCAATCTACAAAGACACACAGTTTGTGTCTGTTATGTAGTTCTTGGTATTTAAGTATATTTAAATATAAGGAAAAATGCTGAACGTTTACTCATACCAATTGATTCTACCCACTTGCTCTTGCAACAAAGAACATTTCCTCTATTACCTCTCTTGGAATCTTACCTCCCTACAAGGAAAAATATTTGTATCTGATTTTAGATCTTGTTTCTCTTAACCTCTGTTAGTGGTGCAGAGTGTCCCTTCTTCTGCCCTTCCAATAGCAGTCCCCCATACGTGGTGATGAACCCTCTTTGTGCCTGTTTCAGATGGATTTCAGCATTCTTGAACACTGCTTCAACCGCATATGCCATTCTAGCTGAGGTCTCCCTAGTGTCTTGTACACTAGCACCATGTTCTTTGACTCTGCTGGTACAGTCTGTGCCCAAAATATCCTATTATTTTGTTTGTCTTTCTCACTGTTATGTTAGAATAGGGCTGAATGGCTTGTTCGTAGTCCCCTTGAGTGGTTTTAATTTGGTTTTAGTGTGTCTACACTGTAGACATATGTATCTAAGCTGATGGCCCTGGACTCCTCCAGTAGTCTCAGAAGTCACTGGAGATCAAATTAATGGAATCTAAGGCATGAATCGTTTCATCTTAAAGAAGGTGTATAACATAGGTCAAATGAATCACACCTTAAAATGCTTATTTCTCTGCTTTGACTGTAAAAAAACAACTAGTACATCAAGGACAGATTTAGACAGTGCAGATAACCAAATCAAGAGAAAAAGAATTCTACTTCTTGTGATTCAGGATACTTAATTTTTTTTTTTCATTTATGACTTCACGTTTTCATTTCTTTTCTACTGCTCAAGTATATTCTTTAATGTTATATTTTAAATCTCTAACCATATCTCTCAACTTTGTGTCTTCAGCACATTGACAGGCATTGGGTTAAACACAAGACTAACATGTAACTAAATCTTTTTATTATACCTTACAGCTTTAAATATACATATAAAAACCATCTTGTGCTTCTGGGGGTGTGTTCTGCAATTTCATCTTCAGAAGTTTCAGTTACTGACTGCACGAAAGAGGATACTGGGCCTTTTAGTTAAGGATTTCTGGTATCTTCTGAATTACTGGACAACAGCTAAAGTTACAAAAGTCAACATCTTGCCAGTTTTTCTTGGACAGCACATGATTAATATCTTCTGCTTCTGGGATGAGTTTGTCTACTTTTCAAATTTGTCTTCTCAGTTGCAGATTGCAAATTTTATTAAGGTCTATGGTACATTTTAAATTTGAGTAAAATTGCATATGGATCTTGTGTTTTCTCTTCTTGACAATTAGGGCATTTATTTAGAGAGAGAGAATTCTTTTCATCTGACATGCATGCTATCCATGTTTCATAGCAAATAATGTAAAATCCTGAGGCACTTCAGTGCATTTATATCCTGAGCATGATGTCCTATGGTCTGGCATAGCTCTTGGGCCAGTTGGGGTCAGCTGTCCTGTCTGTGCCCCCTCCCAGCTTCTTGTGCCCCTGGCAGAGCAGGGGAAGCTGAGAAGTCCTTGACTTAGTGTAAGCACTGCTCAGCAACAACTAAACCATCAGTGTGTTATCACTGTTATTCTCATGCCAAATCCAAAACACAGCACTATGCCAGCTGCTAGGAAGAAAACTAACTCTGTCCCAGATGACAGTATTATATTACAGTTTAAATTATCATCTTATTATTATCATAGTTCTAGAATTATGAAGTAAGACTTTTTTTTTTTCATATGACCTATAGTACCTATACCATTTTATATTAAAGTTGCTGATATTATCACATAGAGTTGAAAGTAACTGAAATGAAGTTAGGAGATTTACACTGCTGTAAAAGTAGTAGGTTGTAAGAGCCCATCCCACTTCCACAGATTAATATTCCAGATAGTGTTCCCACTTATTTTAATAGTGCAGATCACATTGTGGATGATTCTTCAGTATAAAGCAAAGTGAATCAAGACAGAGCTAATGCATCCTTTAACTTATGATAATTTTATTTATGTATGCAGACATACACACACAGAGACACCCCTCTGCATGAGCAGGTTATCGGTCTGTCATTTCTTGTTTATGGTAATGAGTTCACTTTGTTTTAGTTTGTCAACTTTAAAACTATATACAGCTTAAAGAATAGATGTAAGGAGGCCTGTGAAGGTTACTGGGAGCTGAAAGCATATGCAGAATAAAGCAGTAAGAAATGATGCATGGGCTGTTTGCTTTCATGGCATCTCCAACAACATGAAGATGGAAGATGCTTGTAAAATATTTAGAGATCCTTAGATTGCAACTGACAACCTAAATTAAAGCATATGGACTTTGTATATGTGATGACATGCACACATATCCATATATATATTGATAGGCAAAGCCCTACACAAACTGAATATATGACTGAGTTGTGAATATTCAGGCCAGTAATTACATACTATAGGGATAATATTCTTGAGATAATACGTTAAACTTATCCCAATGATAAAATGAAACATAGGAGACCTGAATTATATAGCACTGTAACTTCTCAATTTCAAGCTCTTATTTTCTCTGCTACCCAAAGTATGTTTCAGTGGTTGATGACAGTGCTGTATCCAAAGTTTCTCAAAATGCTGGTGCCTTACATGTTTCTCTACTGCAGAGACCTGCACTTAAAGCAGTATTGTTAGCCAGTCCCCCAAAAAAAGAGTCAGGGTCCTTTCCCTTCTCTCTGTTACCTTCTCCTCATCTCCAAATCCATGTCCACCATTTAATCACTGCTACTCTAGTACTAGAAAGTAGTATCAGCTCCAGCCAGTCTTTCACTTCATTCTTCTGCTGTTTGGAACCCTTTAAAGATTTCCATACAAGTCACTGAGAGAACTTTGGAGAAGATTCATATTAATCACCCAGTAAACTTACACATCTGAAAGAAAAAAAAAAAAAAGAAAAAAAAAAGAGTTCCACCTTCCTTTTCTTCCTCTCCAAGGTCTAACAGTTGCTTGCAAAAATGACCTCAATTCAGGAGCCTGCCTTGGTTACAATTACAAGAGCCTTCTGCATGACTTGAGCTAGCTAATTAAAATTCTCATTAAAGTCTGAGCCATTGAAGCAAAGAGCCAATACATCATTTCTCACTGCTTTACAGTTTATGTATTTTCAGCATATAATAGCCTTCATAGGGATCGTTGCATTCATTCATAAGGCTGTAAGTAGTTATATTCTGGCCCATATTTCCAAAAATGTCCCTTAAATTTGGCATAACTGCAATGTCCTGGACTCAAAAAACCCATCCAGCAAAGTCCTCTGTGTACATGCACATGTGGTTTCTGCTCAGTTAGTTAGTTAAGATGTAAAATTTTCCAGTCACTGAAAATAATTGCTTTTGACTGTTTAGCCCCAGCTTCTGATGCATGTGATCTCAGGATTCTTCTCTGATGTCTCAGAAGTTGTAAAGCTCCTTATATTTTGTCAGACTAGGAACATGGGGCTTCTTCCTCGCCTATATTGTTCTGTGAGGGGCACCACTTCTTCCAGAAATCTCATCTCAAAACCTGTTTTTGCTGGGTGTTGACAAGGTATTGCATATTTCAAAATAGCTACCCCTGAGTTCTTGTATTTAACAGATAAAAATCAAGCACAATATCTGTTGATTGGTTTTGTGTATATATATGTCGGAGGAGATGTAGTCTAGAGATCTGTATATACATGAATCTCCATGCAGCATGTAAACAGAGGAACAATTTCTTATTTTTAGAGGCTAACTCAAGTTAAGTAGTGGAAATTATTTCCTTTTTCCCCTTTCACCTTCATGGACTTCCAGCCATACATGCACACAGAACTGTTACACACTTGTAGTGTGAAAGGAATGTAATTCACACTGAAAGAGACGTAAATCTTCTACTTAGACTTACTAGCACTGCCCCCAACCATTCTGATGGAGAACACTTCATTAATTTGCATAGATGCCCCTCAGGGGACAGTGACTTCCAAACTGAAGAACTGGTCTGATTTCAAGTATATCTTACTGTCCTTTTCATTTTTAATATGTTTCTGTGTTTAATGGATGAATGAGGGTTGGAAGGTGTAGTGAATCTGAAGCTGGTTTTTAATCAAATATTTTCACTTCTTTTCAGTACACATCTGCTCTGACCTATGATGCTGTTCAAGTGATGACAGAAGCTTTTCGTAATTTGCGTAAACAGAGGATTGAGATCTCCAGAAGAGGAAATGCTGGAGATTGTCTTGCAAATCCAGCTGTACCCTGGGGTCATGGTGTAGAAATAGAAAGGGCGTTGAAACAGGTAGCTTCCCTGGAGTGAATGCTGGGATGAGTGCATGTGTGAAATTCTCTATAAATGCTTGAAAAATAACCTCCCAGTCTGGATCTTGCTGGGAATAATGTGTAAGTGAACTCCTCAGGAATGTGTCTTATACCAAGATAATATATTGGGTATAGAAAAGAGTCTAAACTGGATGTTTTTGAAATATCAATAATCATTTATGGAAATACAAAATACATTTTCTGAAAAGAAACAAAGTTAATTCTTCTACCACTCTCATCTTCATCTATATAGGTTCAGGTGGAAGGTCTAACAGGGAATATAAAGTTTGATCAGAATGGAAAGAGAATCAATTTTACAATAAACATCATGGAACTCAAAAGTACTGGTCCTCGGAAGGTAATTTGAATTGTCTTACAGTGTCTTTAAAGGTTTTACCATGCTAAGCAACGGCTTAAGGTAGGTAATGAAACACTATAGATTAATTAAAAAATGAGTTGTGATCATATTTATTCATAGGTGTATTCTACAATGGTCTTGCAGAACAAAGTAAAAAAACGTATTATTTCTTTCTAACAAATACAAGTTGTTGTTTCTGGTAAGTACTATATAAGACTATTTTCCTTTCAGTTTTGTGGATTAAACTTTTCTTTCTGATCTGAGTTGCTAAATGTGAGCCAGTAATTGGGGAAGTATGCTTCTGAATGACAAATGCAGAATATAGCTTTTCAATGCTGTTTCTTTAAATGTGTTTATCTTTCTGCTCTAATTCCAAACTTTTCAGGAAAAGCCAGTTTCTCATGTCTTCCTAATCTGAAGTATTTCATAACCTTTTCAGTCCTACAGAGTGTGATGCTGATACTAAAACCTGTTAATATGTAAATTAAAATGGTATACCTGTATTAGACAAATTAATGTGAACAAATGTCATTAGTTCAATCTTGTTACTATTTGTTATAGACTTTAACTACATAAATAGAAATATTTACACTGGTAAATCCATAGTTAAAATACTGAGTGTAAATCAAGGGCATAGTAATAACGTGCTTTACCTTTTCTATGAAAGTTCATATTCACTGGTGTCTGTGCATCCTATAAACTCTCTTTAGATTGGATATTGGAGTGAAGTGGACAAAATGGTTGTGAATCCTCTTGATGGCCCTCTTGGAAATGAATCTTCAGGACTAGAGAATAAGACTATAATTGTCACCACTATTTTGGTAATTAACCTCATGTTTTATCAGAAGACAGTCTGTCCTACAGTGACTTGTTTCTCATCATTGTGTTAGTTTAAATATACTGTCTTTTTATTACTTGAGGTTGTGACCTGTTACTCATTATGATACATAAATAAAATCTGAAAATTAAGGAAATGCATGTGATTCAGTATGCAATTTTGTTCTGTAGAAGACAAACACTGATTGAACATCCTAGAAAGTTAGAATTTTTATACCTGGAAATGGAAATTAAACACCTGCTTTCAAAGGAGAGCTTTGTCTAAGAGGAGGAACCATAGTGTTGGTTTTAGAGAATGAATTTTGCCAAGCAGGAAAGAGACTGGTTCTTATGTTTCAGAGTTGTAGCTGCTATGGATTGCTGAAGTGTAAAAAAAAAAAATAAAAAAAAATAAAAAAAAAACCCCAAAAAAAAAAAACCACAACCAAAAAAAAAACCCCGAACAAAACCAATAAAACCCAGCACATTAAAAGTTTTATTCTAGTTGTCTAGAAAATGATGTTATTTACTGTTATAGAAGAGCATTTTTCTGTAAGTTACGCAACTTCTCTGTCAGTTTGGACAAGCTGGTATAGGAATTTCATGGGATGCAAGAATAGGTTGGTAACTGAGCAAAGAGGCACACGTTACTTAGATACAACTTATGACTCATCACCAGTTTTGCTGATGATAGAACTTCACTGCATAGTTATAGATACTTTACCTACTGTTTGTGTAGTGACTCAATAAATATACAGCCTGGAGAGCCTGAAGTGTTCTTGCAGGGAGGTGTGTGGTGATGAAATAGGAAAGAACTTTTTTGTATTAAGACAACAACAAAAGCAACTAAATACCTTTGCCTTCTTCCATCCAAACTGTATGAGAGAAAGAAACTGATTCTGGAACTTGCTCTTTCTTCTCTGAGTGCGTAACTCCTGTTAACAATTCATGGTCATTATTAACGTACTGCTGGAATCACTATACCTGTAAGTACATGACTGTGGAGAATGCAGCTTTTAAATGTGTTGAGGACATGTTACACTTATAATTAACAGCCTACATAGAGCTAGCATGTATGATTCAGATGTTATCTTCTCTCTTTGTTTCACATGTAAAAGGAAACTTGTTAACCTGTGAAGTGCACAGCTGATACATGTCTCTTCACCGAGTAGCTAAGGCAAGTTCTTTCTGTGCAGGAGTCACCATACGTCATGATGAAGAAAAATCATGAAATGCTTGAAGGAAATGATCGATATGAGGGCTATTGTGTGGACTTAGCTACAGAAATTGCTAAACACTGTGGATTCAAATATAAGCTCACAATTGTTGGGGATGGCAAGTATGGGGCGAGGGATGCAGACACGAAAATCTGGAATGGGATGGTTGGAGAACTTGTTTATGGGGTAAGAAAATCTTTTATAATAAAGCCATTAAAGATGACCAATGGAAGGAGTGGGATTTGGTTTAGTTTTCTCTGTAGGGTAAAGAAAATTATCTAATTACTTTGATAAAGAATTAATATCTTGAGTTGGCATGAAAAATTTTGAAAGTAAAGCATGGAATTAGATTTTTAAATGCAATTGAAGTTGGGGGAAGTGAATGCATATTTCATCCTTCTGACCAGGTGAAAGGCAAAGCACTTTACTAACACTTTTAAATGTCATATACTTTTTAAAGGGCATGTGTAAAAAGGGAAGCTGGGAATATGCCAACCATATGCTTATAGGTATTTCAGTAAGAAGAGCTTCAACTAAAAATTTCTGAAATTCTCCATAGGACATTGTTGGTGAAATGAATGTTGCTGGTGTCTCTGCTGTCCTATTTTCCATTTGTGAAATGTAATAGAAACAAAACCGTTCTTTGCTTTGTTCATTGTATTAGCTATTATTTGCTTTTTTCTTCCTTTACAGAAAGCCGATATTGCTATCGCTCCATTAACTATAACATTGGTGAGAGAAGAGGTGATTGACTTCTCAAAGCCCTTTATGAGCCTGGGGATATCAATAATGATCAAGAAGCCTCAGAAGTCCAAGCCAGGAGTGTTTTCATTTCTTGATCCGTTAGCATATGAAATCTGGATGTGCATTGTTTTTGCCTACATTGGGGTCAGTGTAGTTTTATTCCTGGTCAGCAGATTTAGCCCGTACGAGTGGCACACTGAGGAATTTGAAGATGGAAGAGAAACGCAAACTAATGAATCAACTAATGAATTTGGGATATTTAATAGTCTCTGGTTTTCCCTGGGTGCCTTTATGCAGCAAGGATGCGATATTTCGCCAAGGTTGGTTACTCGCCCATTTCAACTTTGTGCATTTTTGGTCTCAGCCATCTCAGCCAGAGGAGGTTCATGGTGCATATATTTTCACTCTCAGAAAGAAATTACTTACTATTTTTTCTCCCTCCCTAAAAATCACAGAAGTCCTTGAAATGAGAGCAGTTGTCTGTGACATAGGGTCATGATGTATTTGATCGATACTGTCTTAACGTCGGTCATACATTTGCTAAGTGAAGTTATATACACCATGCAGAGACTGTAAAATGCATAAGGTTCAAACCATTCCATGCCTTCTTGGAGGGGTACCGTGTTTTTGCTGCATATTCCCATTTTACAGTTGACAGTGCATATGGTTCACAACAACTGTAATGGGAAAAAAGGGTAAGATACCAGTCACAAACTACACAGGCAGCACCTTCCCTCTAAAACTCACTACATATCATAACACAGTTATTAACCCACTGTTTTCCTGCAGGAGAGCCTTGAACTGATGTAAAAGTCATGTGATGGCTCTAATTTCATGTGAATAGTTGCAAACCACTGCTGGTTTTCCATGACCTAGTTTTAAAAAAGTCACAAAGGATATCACTAAAATGAATTTGAAAGTCCAAGTTTATAAATGTTTAATTCCTCATGGATTTTCACCTACTTTATTAGGGACAACTGTAAAGCACTTAGAGTACTTAATGAGCTGCAAAGGAATTAACATATTTTCCTTGTGCACAAGTGGTTCTAGCCTTGATTCAGCGAGGTGGTAAGTAGGTAGGTAAATAACTACTTGCTGTTTGAAGGAACTATAGTGACAAGTGAAATAGGGCAACTGGGTTTGAGTTAATCGGATCAGAAGACCCACCTAATTATACTAAGCAATTTAACTTTCTTCTAAACATCCTAAAGTAACACAGGGAACAGGTCAATTCATACTGAGTCTAGTGGCTAGTGTGCAAAATAAATCACACCAAGGGAGCATTTCTTATATTTAGGTCGTGCATCCCAAAAGGCAACAGCAGGTTTTCAAGTTGTTCTACTGCGGAAATAAATAGCGGAGCACTTATTGTGTGAGAACTTCAGCAATTCTGTGTAAAGGCTGGTGTATCACAGTGAGATACACCAGCCTTTATGGTGAAAGATGCTATTGATTTCACATATGACACCATAAGAATTGTATACAAGAAAAAAGACAATCATTTCAGGCCATGAGGAGCTGTGTTAATTTCAGTCAGGGGTTTTCATATTGATTACACCCTTCATACGCTTAGTCATTTGCAAAGTCCTCTATTAGCTACAAAATTTTTTTTTATTGAATCAAGGCCATAGAATAATGATCTTTTTTATTATCGTTGTTGTTTTACTGGCTATTAAACAGTTGACAGTTGTGCATGGTTTGATAACTTTTGAAAGGTGATGTAAGAATAATGGTAGTGAATGGTCATCATAAAAGGTGCATGAAACTAATAATTTTGGAGAGTCAAGATTTAGTTTCAGTGAGGTGTTTAACAGAACTTTATTTCATTACAAAGGTATTTTTGAGGAAGGCAGTTAGTTTGTATATTATCTGTTTATTATAAAAATAGAAAAGGGCTGAAAACACCTCAGTTATTTTTGTTCTTGCACCAAAACCATCACTATGGAATTTGAAGTCCCTGCAAATGGATTACAGCAGATATGAAAAGGAGCCTCTTCAGATAGCAGCAAAATGTCTTTGTGAAGTTAAGTTTTGCACTATCCCTACTAATACTTCTTACAGTGGTTGTCACTTTTATTAAAGAATTGTGGAGTAGGCAAGTAACTAGGGCTTCCTGACTCTGAAATAGCAAGGTGGTGCTGAGTAAGACTGGACCACCTGGAAACTGGTCTGCAATAGCAATCCCTGTGTTGCCATGTAGTACAAAAAGAGAATAGAATAGAACAGTGATAAGATAATGATAGATAACTTAGCAAAGTTTTCCTCATCTTTTTTGAGATGTGAGCGTACTCTTAGTGCTGCCATGTAATACCTTTGTAAGCATAAAGTGCGGTGCACAAATTTAGGTAATTGTGCATAGAAATTGTTATTTTAGTATTTAATGATCTGATGAATGAGGTGCTTGTACAATTGTGGGCTCATACTGGTGTATAATTATCAATCTTTAGAAACTTTTAAAAATGTATATAAAAAAAAGTTATTTAACTGGGACAGACCTTATGGGAAAATTTTGAATACAAATGACACTCCAAAAAATTTTACTTATAAAATGTCATGTGGGAGCATAATGTCTGGATTGGCATTTAGCTTATTCTTTTTTTACAAAGTTGGTAGCAACTTTGGTGACAGATCATGGGCTTTTGAAGACTATTATCATCTGTAGCAGATGTCATCAGTACAATATAAAGCGCCATAAAATCAGCAGTTATTAAATACACATTGTCAGAGAGTTTACCTTTCTAATATATATTTATCGTGTAATTCAATGTTTTAATTCTAGAATTATTTTATACTCAGATTATCTCCATGTCAAAGTAAGTATATAATATTTTTTCAAAGGTGACAGAAAGCATGTTTGCAGAAGACATCTCAATTTATAAAGAACTTGAAATAATTTCTTTTCTATGGTCCTTCTTAATAACATATTCTGGACCTTATCTGACTTGATTTTTAGGTAGTAGAGTGAATTAGTGAGCCTGTTGTGACATGGAATAAACCTTTTCATGTCTGACTTATCACAGACATTTTTTATAATAGCAATTAGTAAAAATAATTTGTCCAGAGTTGGTTCTATTTATTTTTGTTCCCAGTTCAATAAATCAGCTGTACATAACTATCATATTTTAATGTGTGTGTATATATATATAGTTACAGCTATATATATATATCTGTATAAATATTTTGTCAGAATTAGTTTGAAATCTCATTCACAATACAGTAGGCTGGGTAAGTGATTTGCAATTTGTTTACTTAATAGACAGAGGAGACACAGCAAGACATACCTAAGCTACTGCAACGCCTTAGTGCTAGACTTTCAACTACATGCACATTTCTGCCAAATAATTAAGCACATCTCCAAAGATTGTGTACTCCTTCCTATAATGTCTGGTTTGGAAACAAAGTAGTAAGTAATTTAAAAGTTTAAAGGTTCATTAAAAAAACATGACAAGTTTGACAATAATGGAAATATCAATAATTCTTTTCTATTAGTTTTCTGGTACTGAAAATAATTTAACTTCTCTAGTTGTGTGCTCTGTACTGTTCTATATATTTTCTTGAGCTCTCTTTTCTTCTCTCTTCTTGAGCAGGAGATGCAAAACAAAGATCCATAAGAGCCTACCTGCTGCAGTTAAAAACATCAGATTATTATTATTTAAAAATATACTCTCTTCACCATTTTTCTGTATTATCACTGATCGTTTCATGTCCAGTCCTCAGTTTGTTAAATGCTTGTATTTTTCAAAAGCTGTGTGCACTTCTTAGTTTACGGATATTCCCTGGGCCAGTTTTTATAGCAAATAATGCTATTGGTTTCTCAGTATAGATTGGCCACAGCAGCATAAGCCATCGTTTTGTGGAAATCAGTCTTTGTCTGAATGTCTTAGGAAAATAAGCAAGCTAAAGGCACTTAATTTTTAAGCGCATACTGGTTTATCTGAAAGCACTGTTTCACTGATTTTGTTTGATCCTCTTCATAATGTCACACAAATTCACTTCAGAGGGAACAACAAGCTTATGTGTTAAATATAGCACGTTATGATGGGAGCAGTTTCCTTTCAGGATGTTCAGAACTTTGAAGAACTGGATCGCTAAATTCTCCCTAAAGTAAACTCTGGAGTCCTGATTTCAGCAAAGTCCTGGAGATGTAGTGGAGTATGCATTGATTCCTGTCTGATTAGTGTGCAGAGCTGCACTACGAGATAGCCTGAAATGCTTCCCTGTAGTATAATGCATCGTTTGCATGAAACTGATGACATGTGTTCCTTTTTAGGACTTCTCATTTCACTTTACAAATCCATTTCATACTTGTTATTAGATCCCTGTCTGGGCGCATTGTTGGAGGTGTGTGGTGGTTCTTTACCCTCATCATAATCTCATCCTACACGGCTAACTTAGCTGCCTTCCTGACGGTTGAGAGGATGGTGTCTCCCATTGAAAGTGCAGAGGATCTTTCCAAGCAAACAGAAATTGCTTATGGGACGTTAGATTCTGGCTCCACTAAAGAGTTTTTTAGGGTAAGAATTTCTACTTTTTAGATTTCTGTTTTGTTTTAAATAGCTCTTCCCTCATGTAAATGTGTTTTCCCTAGGCTTTATTAAAAGGTTGCTATAAAAACATGATATGTGCAGCCTAACTCACAAGTATAAGTGTTTTTCTTTAGTCGTTATCCTTACATTTTATTATCTATATATAAATATAAAGGTCATGTTATAAATATGCAAAGCAAAAGTGGTTACAAGGAATTACCTAAAAAATATTCCACTGTAAAGTAAAAAACAAGATATGTTCAGAGAAGGGAGTTGATACTGTTCATCTAAGCTGTAAGACATGAGCTAATGATTATAAACAAGGCTATTTAATATCCATGCTATATTTTAAGTAGTGAATAGGGGGGAGGTGCACAGTCATGTTTTAATATGTATTTCACGTGATTTTTCAAGCTTGCAGATGGGAAATGGGATTCAGCCCTGTTGGCTGCTGTAGTAAATCCATGCCTGCTTTTGAAAACAGTTACTGTTTGTATTTGCATTATGGTAATGCTTTGGAAGCCTGTCAGTCCTCACCTACCTCTGTGTATTTCAGTTTTAAAAATGCATGAGGCTTCCAATGTGTGAGTCGCAGGCTGTCCTTGAGACACTAGCTAACATAGTGAAATCCATCCAGCAAATGAGTGAGACATGGAGGCTGCTGGGCGAACCACCGTGGCTCTTTAGCCTTGTCTGTGTGCTCTGTGTGTCTCTCCCTGTAAGGTGGAAGTGGATCTGAAGTGCTACAAATGCAAAAGACCTGTTGTTTTCTTGTTTCTCAGTGGATGGCAATAGTGTTAGGTTTGAACAAAATGTATTTTAAAACAGTTATAAATATTCCATTTATGTATCAAACATAGCCTGCCATGAAAGTGAAATGAAACAGGTTTCACAAATATTTTTTATGTACTGTATAGTTGGAGCAGTAACTGCTGGATGATGGTTTTCACTGGACACTGTAATGCATACTTAACTGGGAACATACTAAATGGAAACCATACTTGTTTCAACTGTAGAAAAGCATTATTTTCTGATTTTGATGATAGGTCCAGTAATAAGACCTGCTGCTGATTGCATTCCTGATGGCTAAACCAAAATCAACATCAGGAGCGTAAGCTAGTAAAAATGAGATTGGATTTGTGCTGAGAGTGTTTAGAAGTGTTCAGAAGCATACAAACATTTGTTTCTGGTTTTGTGAGCATAAAAAACCTTTTAGATCATGGCCGTACTGGGGATTGAATGTGAACTAACAGTACATCAGGTCTTTTGAATAGTTTCTCTTTAGAGATTTTTAGGCTTTCTTTAAAAACAAAGGACATTTTTCTGTGCATGCGTCAGTATGTAGTTTTTGTGCTCCTAGCACATATATACATCTTTCCAATTACACTTTTACACAACTATTGTTTATGTTGATTACCTGAGCATTAATAACTTATTTTTGTAAAAATCAGATGGAGGCTTTTTGAGGGCATATTCTTTATCTTTTGTTAAGCTAGCTTTGGCTTTGCACAGCAAGGCTATAATGATCTCTGGAAATTTCTTCTCAGTAATTGCTATCACAAACAAGTTGGTGCATTGTGTGTAATGCCACTTCTTAGCCTGATGGCTCTATCTACTATTTGCTAAAAATCACTTAAACTTGCCCAGTTATTTTTCCAGAAATAACAGCTGTCAGAATTTCTTTCTAGGAGACCCAAACCTCAAGTTTCAAGAATGAAACTCTCTCTGCTGAAGTTCAATGTGAAAGCAGTCTCTAGCACTAAGGAGACTAAAATTTCACCCAGAGTATTTCTGTATGGTGACTGGATGCGTGATTTTTATATGACCTGAAATTAGGACTCAAATTCTTTGTACAGCTGGAAACAATTGAGTATTCTTCTAACAGCAAGCTAAAATGGACTGGCTTTTTCTCTGTCACTGTCATGAATTAAAAGAAACGTTTGGGGTTTTTTCACAGTCTGTTTTCAAGAAGTGGCATTATCTGCAAGTTTTTTTTCTATTGATGGGATGTATACTGGATCTAAATATTCAGTAGCAGAGCCCTAATTCCTAGAACAGCACAAAATTAGGGATCGTTTTATACTGGGGATGAGAACAGTAAACTGAGTTTTCTTTGCTACTAAAACATGTTTTCTGATCATACTTTATGTAAGTGAAAAAGAGATGTTTCTCAGCATTTTTCAAAAAGGAATTCTCAGTAATAAGCTAGATGGTGAAAGCTGAAAAATCCTATCCTGAATAGCTGAATATATATTTGCGATGTTAATTAAGAGGTGGGTTCAAGTCTTTGTCCAGCATCTGTGACTGCTTGAATAACATGAACTCCTTGAGATGTTAGGTTAGCCTGGGTATGTCAGGGATGCCACATTAGCTTTTCTCTGTTTTGTTTTAAGATTCTAGTCTTTCAGCCACCTATGGCAGGTACATACTAGTTCATGTCTGCAATGGCTGTGGCTGGCTCCAGTGGCTACCATGGTGAGTAGAGTGAACCAGATATAACTTAGAAAAACCCAGGTGGAGGAAAGATAGTGGCTCACCACACACCCTATGGACGGTATGGGAGTAGGTGCACAAGGTAGTCAATATCATTTGACTTGGAGATAACAGCCTTGGTACTCGTGGCAAAAGACATATTGCTTTTGCACTTTACCCTATTTTAGGTACGTGCTCCCTAGCTTTAAGGGTGGTACAGACTAGTAGGAGATATTCTTGCCAACAGTGAATAGAGAGCATCAGTTGGCACTGAGTCAAGAAACGTAACTGAGAAAAAGGGATCACAGAATGGCAAGGGTTGGAAGGGACCTCGGGAGATCTAGTCCAACCCTTCTGCTAATGCAGATTCACCTAGAGCAGGTTGCACAGGACATCATCCAGGTAGGCTTTGAATATCTCCAGAGAAGGAGACTCCACAACCCCCCAAAGAAAAAGGTAGTGACAGAGCTTTGCTGAGCAGTAAACATCAGCAGGAAACTTACTTCTTAGTAATAAGGTTATAGATACACAATTTTTCTTCAATGGTAGATCCATCAGATCTCTCAATTATGTATTTGTAAATATCAGAATATGTAGTAGTTCTCCTCAGGAGATCTCAAAGTTGCTACTAGCAAAATTGCGAGTACGATCCAAGTCTTCAGAGTTCTGTTCCACTGAGTTGGGATACTTAGAACCTCTGACACTTAGTAGTGCCTCTGTCTTAGGGATAGTGCTTTTAGAGTTCTTAGTGCAACTGAAAGCCTAAACAAAGATGTATAGTGCATTGCTGTTGCATTTTCTCTTGGGTTTACAACCTGAAATAACGGGCAAGACATCGAAGAAAACGTGCATGGCTGTGGTTTTCCAGAAGTGCGTAATTTTTCTCAAATCAGCAGTCGATTGTAGTGGTGAGAATGTGAACAGGACTACAAGCACAGCTTGGAAGATCAGGAGTCATTTCAGTTGATCTTGTACAGGCGCATCATCTCTATAATTGTCAGGTCGCAGACACTACTTGATGGAGCAGTAAATGGTGGGGCAGTGGAATTTCATCACTCTGGTACGTACTATTGACACTATCTGCAGTCACACAGTATTTTTACCTTCAGTGATTTCTCAGCAGCTGCTGTTAATGCAGTTGTGTATGTATTAGCCAAGACACATAGTTGAAGTTGGAAGGGGGGAAAAGAAAAAAATCACTAACCCAAGAAGACAGACTACTGCTCACATAACACTGCAGAAATTATTTTTAAAGCATTGTCTGTATGTGTTAACTCCTGAAGTTGCCTTGCTTGCGTTCATGGGCCGTGACACTGGAAGAAAGAAACAAAGTACAACTGCGTAAGTATGCAAGCTTAGCATTCACTGGAACATTTCCATGCTTTCCACCTGCTTGAAGGCATATTGAAAATTAATATCAAAGTGCTACAAAGAGAACAAAAGCTAATTACTTATAAAATTCAATCATGTTTTTGCTGTATGCCTAGTTCTATTCATCAAGAATATGTACAAACCCAACAGACAAATGAAATCGATCATGCTACTATTTTTTCCACTTTAAAAGATTAATTGTAACTAGTCCCATGTGCAAGGTAAGAAGGCATGTCAAAAAGAAATAATGACATGGAGAGCAATAATTAGCCTAATTTACGTCCCTGTCTACATTAGTTTTTATTGAAAATCTTTTTATATATACCCGCCAAGACACATAGTTGAAGTTGGAAGGGGGGAAAAGAAAAAAATCACTAACCCAAGAAGACAGACTACTGCTCACATAACACTGCAGAAATTATTTTTAAAGCATTGTCTGTATGTGTTAACTCCTGAAGTTGCCTTGCTTGCGTTCATGGGCCGTGACACTGGAAGAAAGAAACAAAGTACAACTGCGTAAGTATGCAAGCTTAGCATTCACTGGAACATTTCCATGCTTTCCACCTGCTTGAAGGCATATTGAAAATTAATATCAAAGTGCTACAAAGAGAACAAAAGCTAATTACTTATAAAATTCAATCATGTTTTTGCTGTATGCCTAGTTCTATTCATCAAGAATATGTACAAACCCAACAGACAAATGAAATCGATCATGCTACTATTTTTTCCACTTTAAAAGATTAATTGTAACTAGTCCCATGTGCAAGGTAAGAAGGCATGTCAAAAAGAAATAATGACATGGAGAGCAATAATTAGCCTAATTTACGTCCCTGTCTACATTAGTTTTTATTGAAAATCTTTTTATATATACCCATTTTTGAACCAACAGCGTGACATGGACAGACAATCTGTTTTGTTCTGTTTTGGTGGCCTTAAGAGTAGATTCTCTGCCAAAGTAAAAGCAAGCAGAACTGTTCCATAATGAAGTATGCTTTAGCTTTCACTGAAAAGACTATGCGAGAGTTGCTTATTCTTGCTTAAGAGCCAAGAGTTCCAGAATTGAAAAGTTGGGAATGGGAAAAATGCCAGAAGGATGATAATCCTTGCTGTCTTATAAAGAAGTCCTCTTCCAGAGTGAAAAGCTA